GTAACTCCTTGAATTTTGGAGAAACGTAGCAAAAATGAAAGAATACGACCATTTAAAGTCTGCCATGGTGTAGGAGAACAGTAGAAACTGAAATCGCAGGTGACTTATTTCAGAGCACGTCAACATGTGCAGACTGGCAGTGCAGGTCAAAATACACCCAGTACCAGCTAAAGCGTACTGTAGGTTTATCTGAGAGTATTAATAACCCAGCAGTCCCAGGCATCGGAGATGTAACACCACAGGGGGTTACAGCTTGCAATGGAAAACTGCTGCTAGGTTGTCCCACAGCTCACACCCACTGTATCCCATACAGTCACAGATGTTCAGCTCCATTCATTTGAAAGTTGAGGAAAATGGGTATTAACAGCTCTTTTTATTGCAGGATCTTTATTCGGCACAAACTAAAGTTCATTCTTGAACCCTGGAGTGTTCTGTTAATGTCATTAATGGTGTTTTATGTAGTTGTGGCACTAATGCCAGTAGAGGGTGTGTTATTAAATATAGTGATATTATATACTATAAGTGATGCAGCCTTGATATGAGTAACCCAAAGCTGATCTGACTTATAAAGAGTTGATGATCTGAGCCAATTTTTTTTCTGCTTGATAGAGTATCACCGTCATTGGACATACATGTATCCGAGTGACACCAGTTGTCAGTGTTTGAAATATCTGAATGGGACACCAAAGACGTTCATCAAACACCTCAGCTCTACACACCAGGGTTTTGCTTCCAGCCAATAGATAAATCACAACTCAGTTCAAGTTTAATATCTGCATTAAATGAGAATAATGCTTATTTAAAAAACAAACAAACAAACAAAAAAACTACTTTAGGCACAAGTCTTCTTGTGACTTGTGAGGGGACACTGAACATGAATGACTTGCCTTGGAATTCTTCTTTATTTATATCTGCTGTATTTATATTGTATTCCATTGTGCATTAATGCAGTAGGACAGAGAGCACAGTGTTAATTGAAGTCTGGATGCTTTTATTTTGAAAATAGTTTGGGATGTTCTTGTTTGTGCAGTGTGTATGTTTGTATATATTTACTTTTTAAAAATATACAGTGCTTACACAATAATCTGTGCTTCTGTACCTGTATGTCTGTGCACGTGTTGAGCTTGGGAAAACATGCAGTACTGTAGAATGAATATATGCACTCAGGGTGTGTTGAAAGTCTGAACAGCAGGCGTAAACCTCCACAGACCTAACACTTCAATCTCAGGTAAAAAAAAAAGCCTTTGGGTAAAAGGAGGTGTTATTAGAGTTTGGTCAGTGTAGCGGGTATGCCGTCTTTCATTCCCTCAAATGGATTGGTGGCAGAGATTGCTGTATTTCCCTGAAAGCTATTTATAGCCAGTTATATTTACTGGTCACCTCAATAAAAAATGAATTCAGGGGCAATGCACAGCAGGAGCTATAACAGCTTTTGAAAAATTTAATTGGTGACAGTGAAATCATCTGAACCTTTTGTTTGGTAATAATGTGGAAGCAACGAGAAGCTGCCATATCCTCTTGATGAAAAGAGATGTAACTGTAGGGAGAAAATGGCCCTTGTACAGATGGGAGGAGTAGGGGGATGTGAAATGATTTTTCTGCTTAGTTATGGTTTGTCAAGTAGTATTTTTCTCAGATTTTTTATTTTGTTTAACCTCTTTTTTTGCCAGGAAATCTCACTGAGATCAAGATCTCTTTTTCAAGGGAGACCTGTCCAAGATAGCAACCACACAAATTTACAACATATTAAAATTCAACACATACAACACAATATACAAAAAAAAATCATTCACAAGATAAAAAAAATGATGGACTCTCAAATCAATCAAAGTCTCTAAACTTGACTTGAAGCCAGTAAGTGAAGCAGAGCAGCTCAGTACATTTTGGATGGATGAGTCTCACAGTGGTCGGCACTGCAGCGAACACTCCCTCACCCCCACCTCATTCTCCACCTCCCTCTTTCTCCCCTCATCAACACATGCTTGCTCACAAGAAGTACAGCACTCCAAGGCAATACTATTCTACAGTTTTACTCCTACAGCTTAAATTTGTTTTTATACATTTTGCTCCTTCTCTATATGTCTCATGGCAAATGAACCAAGTCAACAACTTAAAAAGTAAGAAGCTTTAAAACCCTACAGAACAATCAAAGTCCCTAAAGCTTCTGCCGTCTGTCAGCATATTAACGTCAAGGTGAATGAACAAGCTGACAAGAGAGACTGAAAGCTGTCAGGTGCCGACTCAGACACTTTAATACTTTTCTGTTAGATTCAGAGGAGAGTTTAAGCTACTGACAGGGTTACTAAGCATCACGTCGGCCTTCACTCCCTCTGCGCGTGATGTTGTCTTCAGCATTTTGTCACGTTTTTGATCACAGACCAGCATAAATCTGAAGCAGACTCAGTGAAATTAAATAAAAGTTCTCGGAATAGAGCTTTTCACAGCAGAGAGTTTGGTTTGTCCAAACAAGAAAAGCACAGTCTGATTAATGCAGCTCTCACACAACGTTGACAGAACAGAGCAGGTTATTCCGGGAGTGTTCTTCCAAGATGGTTTCCTCTGTAGTCACAATATTTAAATTAATTATTTGGAACAGTTTCATAACAAACTGTGTTAATTGGATTTTATTATGATGTAACTGCTGAGAGTTTGTTGATGACTTTGTGGTTCTTTTCATTAAGTGGAAAATCACTTGTCGTTGTTAGGAATTCTTGATAGCTCCAAGCCTGAGGCCATCGTCAAGGTTTTTTCTGACTCAGTTGCTAGCAATTATAATCTAAATAATGACATGAATGCAGCATAAACCTGAGCCAATCCTAGAAGTGGCATACCTGAATGTAATTCATTTATAATTAATGATAATTATTACCTGTGCGCTTCTTCTGCTATGATGTTAAAAAGGCCCATTGTGCCTGGAAAGATTTTTTTAAATCACTCAAGATATAAAGACAAAGAGAGCAGAATCTTCAGTTAACATCCACAAATCATTGAATCTTTTCACAAGTCTGTAGGTGGTCAATATGCTTTTAAAGTTCGGGTAACTTTGAAAAAAAAAAAGCCACTGTAAAAAGTTACTGCACATTTCATGGAACATTTTACAAGGATGCTTGAACTCATGTTGACTCAGGTATTTTCAGACTACAAAACTGCACACTGCTCTTATATTCCTACAGTCACTGACTCATAATGAGGTGGTCTTCAAGCCAGAACAGCTCATACGGCAACAGCCAATTTCTAGTTTCTTGCAAGAATGAGTTTTTCTGTCGCTGTGTGAGTGTATATGTGTTTGGCAGTGTGACTAGGTGAATGGGTGAATAGTGTGAAAGCACAAGTATAAGACCAATGACCATCATATCAGCGTTACTACTGTTGGTCAGTGCAAGAGGAAGCAGTCAGTGTCTAAATTAAGTCAAAGATATTCTTCGATCTTTTTGATCTTACTTTAATACCTCCCATCTATATTTTGTTCTATGCTAATTATCATCAAACAAGCATCGGTACGTACTGCTATAACTTAATAAAACTCCATAAAACATAACTAAATGCAGTGGATGTGTTTGTGTGTGGATGTTTACATTCTTGAATGTGTATGTGCATCATTGTGTTTATGCGCAGTTGGAAAATTAATTTTTGTAACCTGCAACATGAACAAGTTGGTCCATCTGGGACTAGACAGAAATACTAATAAGCTTGATTAGAAATTAGCATAAACTTTGCCTTGCTTGGCATTATTACAAGTACTGGGCTTTTCTTAGTATCCAGGCTGCTCTGAATTAGCCCTGCCTTACTTGGAACTTGGCTGGATTCAGCAGCCTTTAGACAGGAAACATAAATGTGACAGAAAAAAAAAGTTTAATCCACATGAAGCAGAGATTGGAATTTCTCTATTAGACTGAAATAACCTTGACCAGAGATGTAACGGTGACATCACTGCATTAATGATAAGCACAAATTAAACAATGTGAACAGTTTCACAGGTTTTAAGGAATCCTAACACCTTTGCTTGAGGTTAATTCACTTCCTGAACTTACCTACAGTGGACCTATCTTTAGTTTTGTTTTTTGTTTTTAACCAAATAATTTTCTCCTCAAACACCATCACACAAAGCTGGTGCTGTAGTCTTCACTGTGGAAAGCCACTGACAATATTAATTGGACAATAATCTGCTCTGTGTTTGAGGCACTGACTCCTCTTCCATTTGCCTCCTGTAATACCGGATGGACAGCTTCACACATCATCATGCTCCCAGTCATCCGACTGGATTGTAGGGTACTACTTATGAGACACAGTCCCTACCCAAAGCTCAGTGTTGTAACATAATAAATCTGCTGTCATTATATCTCCAGACAAAATTTGATGCACTTTCCACTGTAGTTTGATGCATCAAGTTTATTAAATCAGTGGGACTGCATCCATTTTCATTTGCAGTCATTATCTGGGGCAGATGTGAATCATTACTTTGGAGTATGCCCCCCCCTCGCATTCTCTCTTTTGGTGCTCTCGACAATTTTCATCTCAGTTTTCAAGCAATTGTTTTCGGTCTTGTTAAACCCTGACATCAGCTGGTTCGACCAACAGAGGC